GAAAAAATAGGAACATACCTTTTAAAGGAACACCACTGAGGTCCTTAAGCCTTAAAATTTGAATTTCTTACATAGATGAGCTAGGGCACTTAAAACAGAAAGTAAAACATAAATCAGATATGTACTCAGAAATTAATTGAAATTCATTTTTTGTGCTATTCTCTTAGTCCGATTTGAGTGAAAGCATTGCACGCTTTTCAATTTTGGGTCATTTTTTCACAATTTAGAATAATTATTCTGAAATAACCGATTGTGCAATAGATCAGAAATGTTACATTATTTGTCATTTAAAAAAAAGTTTATTGGAGTCCCTGTAAGTCCTGGGCGCTGTCATCAGCGCTGACACAATGTTACCGTTAACAGATGTCACGTGATCACCCACCCTCGTCATTTTCATATGAACTGATTTTAAAGTTGACATATTCTTATTTTTTCTAGAGTTGAATAAAAATGACCGTAATAATAGAGCCATCTTTTTGCAGCTAAGCAGAAGCTTCGTTAGACCACATTCGTTACCGATCACACTTCTAACACCTGTTACAAATGTGTAATGATAATGAAACACATACGTAACATTTTTGTAACGAATGTGATCGTTGCCGATTTTTGATGTTTCGTGGATTCACATTCGTAACAGGACAATTTCAATATGCAAATTAAAGTTAAAAGTGTATTAACTACAAAATCACATTTGAAACACTAAGTTCGTAATAAGTGTCAATACATCGGGTCATTAAAGTGATTTGCTTTATAGGAATGAAAGTCGTTGAATGCATGGTTGTAGTATCTTGCCATCCAGGTCGGTACCTGTCCGTCTGTCTGTCTGTCTGTTGTCTTGTTATTATAATTTGTCTGAGTAGATACAGTTTTATCAAACAAATACAATTTTATGGGAACAGTTAGTACAAGTATGAGACAATTATGTATTTTTGCGGTTTATAAGTAGTAAAAATAGTAACTTTAATGGTAACTTTAGTGATTAAAGCTATAATGTTTGAATATAGAATTCCCTTCTTAGGAAGTAAATTGTCCATCTGTGCACACACATATATTCATACGTTGACACAAATGCAGCGACATATTTTATCAGAACTCTCATTACTATATTGAAGTTTCAGGACAATGAATCATTCGCTAGCGAGCTAAGGAAACCGTCCGATTGAGTAAATGGCTATCAACTTCCAAAAAAAGTCGTTCACTATAAAGTGAACACACATATACTAGTATAATTTCAAATAAAATAGAAAAATACATGTACATGAAAAGTATAATAGAGATAGAGAAAGAGCAATTCAACAATTTAAATACACAAGAAATAACACACAATGCATGACTAAGATTTTTTTTGTGTCAATATTTATGAAACATTTTAGTCAAAAAAAGTATCTTTTTTGGTGTTGTCAGCTTATTTTATTATGTGGTTTACCACGAACTAATTACTTAATTGGAGTGTGAACCAGACAGGCGCATTGTTATTTTCTTTGAAATGTAATTTTAACTGAAATTTCGAATGTTTTATTGCTATTTTGAACATGCAAAATATAAAAACACAATTGATCAGATTCATTCATACCGATTTCATAATGAAACAATTTGTGGTATAATTTGATAATTTGACAATGTCATGAATCAATGTTCACCTTTTGAATGAAAGACAGTATCCTTGATCGCATAATTCAGGTAATTAACTATTTCATCAATTTTGTCTCCCACAAACAGACGACAATTCATAAAACTAAGTGCAACAAATGTATGAATGAACGTAAAATGTTATAAGAAAAAACAACCAAATGCTTTATGACATTTTAATACGTTTTATTCACCATTATCTAAATTTGTTTTACCACGTCTGCTGTTTTTGAAACAGACTTCATGGTTTTGTAATAGTTTTCGTTTTTTATTATTAAAGTCGTCGTTGAACCACAGTCTAGTACTCGTGGCTTTTCTAATGTTATACGCTCCGTGTTATGTTTACTGTATAATATATTGACCTTAACTAGCAGAACTAAAATAATTCACTTTATATATGTATACAATATAGAAAACTTCATACACCTCTTCAACATAACAAAACTGACATACCACATCTATAGTCACTTTATTTTATTGGTCATCCACATATTTCAGGCGCATAATACGCCATTATTTAATTCATAGAGCTATTGTATGTTTATGCTCATTATTACACAGTCATTTATATGATTTGATTTGTTATGATTTAATTTGATTCGAAATGATTTGATTTGATAATATTGATATGATGTAATGTAATGTAACTCAATACAATACAATGCAATATACAATACAATACAATGCAATATACAATATACAATACAATACAATATACAATACAATACAATACACAATACACAATACAATACAATACAATATACAATATACAATACAATATACAATACAATACAATACACAATACAATACAATATACAATATACAATACAATATACAATACAATATACAAAACAATACAATGCAATATACAATACAATGCAATATACAATACAATGCAATATACAATATATAATACAATGCATTATACAATATACAATACAATACAATGCAATATACAATACAATGCAATATACAATATACAATACAATGCAATATACAATACACAATACAATACAATACACAATACACAATACAATACAATATATAATGCAATATACAATACAATACAATACAATACAATATACAATACAATACAATACAATATACAATATACAATATACAATACACAATATACAAAATACAATATAATAACAATGCAATGCAATGCAATACAATATACACAGGAGAAAAGAAGTTCAGCTTTAACTTATTCCTGAATTGGCATAATGTCCCTGTAACTTATCAACCAATTTTCCTCACATAAACAATAATTTTAAGTCTAAGCCAATAATAAATATTAGTCGTATATTCTTATTTATTCTATGGATTTATCAACTACAAATATAAGTTAGCATTTTCGTTCCAGATTTATCTAAACAACTTTGATCATTTCAGAAAGTTGTTTTGTCTGGCAACCAATGTAAGACATGTCGTTCTAGCTTATATCATCACCTACACCGAATGAAATTAAGCAATTTATTTAACTACAGTACATTGTATATGTACTGATGGCAACAAAATTTTGCACATTTATAATAATATGTAATAAGTTTCTATCAATGGATTCCGAAGCTATAGCACGTTACACACATGTATCACTTGACAACCTTACTTGTATCATATCATTTACCCTTTACTTCATGAGCATATTGTGAAAAATGGCCGTTTTCATTGAAAAGCCTCCTGTTACAAGTTCAAAGTGCTATGAAACTATGAAAATGCTTCAATACAGATGAAACTTCTGGACCATAGCCTCTGTAACAGCATGCTCAATCTTACATTTCCTGTTACCATGGCAAGGGGGGACGTCTCAAAATTGCCAAAAATCACTATTTTGCATTGTTTTGTTTTTTTTAACCTTACGATCGACCTGATGCCATTTTTAGCCTGTCACATGTCCAACATTTTCTTGGCGTTTAGGGGGGCTGTGATAACTTTTTATCAACATTTCTTAAACGAAAAACAGTGTTCGGGGCCAAATAAGGCCATTTTGTCACTGTTGGAGGCCTTAAAGGGGGGGGGGGGTCGAAAAGCCGTCAAAACACGTCTATATGAGGTAAAGGGTAACTTAGATTTTAATTTGATGAAAGCATTATTACAATTATATGTCGGGTAATTGCTAACAGACAGCATTCATAGGCATTTAATGTCTTTTACTAGTATTTAAAATGGACGTTTCAATGTTCTAAATTTTACTATATCAATATGCATGTATCAATAAAATGATGCTAAAATTTACAGATTTTTGTATAAAGTGTGTCTTTATTTCATTCAACCACAAAAACCCACGTCAGTTTTTTTTTTGGAAGAAATAAAGTAAATAGTGTGTAAATTAAACTGCGTTTGATTAATGCGTTTTTAAATGCAGGTATTTTGTATCTTTTCAAAATACTAAATCAAAGTAAACCTTTTATTGTGATAAAATATGAGCAACGAAAATTGTAAAATAATTGGTATGATAAACATCTGAAGGAGAAACAATTTTATAATAAATTTGTGTGCATCCAATCCCTCATGGTGTTATAAAAGTTAAATTGGTCGTAGCCAAAGGGAGGTAACTTTCTTTAAAATGTATACACTTAATTGTATAGCACATCGTTGTAACATGCAATTAAAGAAAGGGCGGTTCATTCGCAGCATGTCTAGTTGCCATATAAATTCGTATTTTGAATGATAAATCCTTACTTTAATGTTTAATTTAACCTGCATATGTTCACAAGTCGTTCAATAAGTCAATTTTAAAGTTTTATTCTTTGTGTTATACTTTATCGAATGAGAAATTAATTCAAATATGGTTACATTATAATACCTTACAACAATTACATGACTTTGAGAATTGCTTCTTCACAAATACTATTTAATAGTGATTTTCAAAATAAAAAGGAAGTAAAGTCAAATACTAATGGAAAAAACGGGTTCCAAGCGTCGTTCGGTTTTGCTTTTTTCGTTTACATCAATTTTACGACATTGCACCAACATTGAATGCACAAACAGGCATTCTACAGGTCACAATGAAGGATCATAAATACATGATTGATGTAAATACAATAAAGTATGCTCAAAATATGTTTTACACACTATAAACTAAATTAATGATGACATAAAAATACAATAAATAATCTCCAAATGTGTGATCTCATATTTTTTAACTATAACAAGAATATTTATATTTAATACAAGTTATTTGCAGATTTTATCAATGTCTCTCCATGCATACATTTTGTGGGGGCGTGTGTACTTGGAACTTTGCTTTACCCTGTTGAAATTTTACCTCCATATTTTTCATTAAATACTCAAAACTGTAATGTGCAGGTTAACATCAGTCAAAAATGCCCAGCTGCAATATTTTACCACTTGTTATTTAACATGTATTAATTGTTATTTGTCATCAGTGGCACAATTGAGCAGTCCAACCACATATATGCAGTCTCACCACACATATGAGCAGTCTCACCAAACATATGTGCAGTCTTACCAGACATATGAGTAGTCTCACCACACATATGAGTAGTCTCACCACACATATGAGTAGTCTCGTCACACATAAAAGAAGTCTCACCACACATATGAGCAGTCTCACCACACATATGAGCAGTCTCACCACAAACATGAGTAGTCTCACCACACATATGAGCAGTCTCACGACAAATATGAGCAGTCTCACAACAAACATGAGCAGTCTCACCACAAATATGAGCAGTCTCACCACACATATGAGAAGTCTCGCCACACATATAAACAGTCTCGCCACACATATGAGTAGTCTCACCACACATATGAGCAGTCTCACCACACATATGAGCAGTCTCACCACACATATGAGCAGTCTCACCACACATATGAGCAGTCACACCACACATATAAACAGTCTCGCCACACATATGAGTAGTCTCACCACACATATGAGCAGTCTCGCCACACATAAAAGAAGTCTCACCACACATATGAACAGTCTCACCACTAATATAAGCAGTCTCACCACAAACATGAGCAGTCTCACCACACATTTGAGTAGTCTCGCCACACATATAAAAAGTCTCACCACACATATGAGCAGTCTCACCACACATATGTGCAGTCTCACCACACATATGAGCAGTCTAACAACACATATGAGTAGTCTCACCACACATATGAGCAGTCTCACCACACAAATGAGCAGTCTCACCATACATATGACCAGTCTCGCCACACATATGTGCAGTCTTACCACACATATGAGCAGTTTCACCACACATATGAGCAGTCTCACCACACATATGTGCAGTCTCACCACACATATGAGCAGTCTCACCACACATATGAGCAGTCTCACCACACATATTTTAGCAGTCTCACCACACATATGACTAGTCTCCCCACACATATGAGCAGTCTCACCACACAAATGAGCAGTCTCACCACACATATGTGCAGTCTCACCACACATATGAGCAGTCTCACCACACATATGTGCAGTCTCACCACACATATGAGCAGTCTCACCACACATATGAGTAGTCTCGCCACACATATGAGCAGTCTCACCACACATATGAGCAGTCTCACCACACATATGACCAGTCTCACCACACATATTACCAGTCTCACCACACATATATTTTATACTTTCTGTAAAAATGTTTTGTATATTGCGTTCGAGTGAAATGAAAACTAAGAAATTGTAGATGGATACATTTGGATATATTGTAAAATTATTATTTAAACTTTTAAGTGTTGAAAATTGAGTATAACTAGCCGGTGCTAGGGAGCGTGAGGGATGTTGCACGTTTTCATTATCCCTCTCACGGACGGACAGACTCAATCAAACCCAGTCTGCAATTTTCATGTTATATTGTTGTGATTAATACTCCCGAGGGATCAGCCTTTTCCCACATTTTTACACATTCAAGTTTTTAACTGAAAAAAATATCATAAGTTTTTAGGAGAAAAGGATTTAATCCGTAGTCAGAAATAGTAAAATTCATGTTAGTACTTATTTGTTAAATTGCATTGTTATAAACCATTTATAAATGATTTTGTTTCAAATCGTTGCATTATAGGGAGAAGAAATACGAAAAGAAAGAAGGCCGCGTTGTGGTACATGAAATGCCGACTTTTAACTAAAAAATAAATATCTTTAAAATGCCTCCTCCATGGTAATCTTACTCTGTGTTCCTTTCAATGATTGTGTTACTTCTGTTGTTTTTTATTTAACCTTTTATATTACATTGTCTTTGAATTTAGTACACTTGTTCACCACATCTCAGACATAATTTGGCATTATTTAGAGTATAATATTTGTGATCACTTTTCTTTTAATGTCAGATCGTTATTGTTACATGAATGAAGATAGTAATTGAAAGTAAGTGCCATTCATGTTTTATTAAACATATGTGTCTGTTTCTATCCAATATACCATGAGTTAAGAACATGGAGTCTTGAATCAATGTAAAATCATACATCTCATACGTGAAGGTCCGACTGAGAGAGAGAGAGAGAGAGGGGGGGGGGAGATTAACCCGCTGGTAATATTTCGTCAATTTTTGTTGTCTAATTAAGCACATGTAAATATTACATTTAACTTCACATATTTATCACCAGGAAGTAGTGCTGCTGTTGTCGTCAGTATATTAAACATTTGTTGTTGTTCATTTTACCTGACAGCTCATTAACATATAATCTAACAGTTGTGGCCAAACACCTTTAATATAGACCACAGATGTCATGACAAAACCAACACAATGGGTTTGCGACCAGCATCGATCAAGACCAGCCTGGGCATCCGCGCAGTCTGATCAGGATCCATGTTGTTCGCTATCAGTTTCTCTACTTGTAATAGAGTTGGTAAGCGAACAGCATGGATCCTGATCAGACTGCGCGGATGCGCAGGCTGGTCTGGATGGATGCTGGTCGCAAACCCATTATGTTGGTTTTGTCGTGACATGGCTTTTTATAATTTTATCACTATTCCTGCAATATATCATCAAAATCATCTTGCACCTTGCGATTATTAAATAATACTTATAAAATCAAACAACAATGGGAGAACGAAGCTATTTTTTCAGTTTAGAAATTGACCATAAAACCAAAGCCCATTGAAGACACGTGTAGACATAATTCTATCTAAGATAAAGCAAAGTGTGTGCCAGAAGTTGTGTTATGTAATAAAGATGATATATTATAAAATAACATCATGGATTATCACATTATGATTCTTTTAGTAAGAATGTCTGCTAGCAGGTTAAAGCAGGGTAATGCAACTGCCTTGTTGTTGTTGTTTTTTTTTTGTGGTGTGGTATTTCTTTCTTCTTCTTTTTTGCATACGAAAAAGCTGCAAAATTTTCATACTTTCTATCAATGAAAGATTGCATGTTACAGTGATCACGGTTAAATGAATGCGTTCAATTTCACATCTCAAAAGCTGTAGTTATTCTCATGATTTTCATACACTTTGTTTTTAATGTACCAAAAAATGATGTTCATTAAAACAAGTTGTTAGTTATGTGTCATAACAACTAAATGATCGACTTCTAACACTTCAAAAGAATAATTAAACTTTGATTATAATAAACCCTTTCAAACCAAATTATTTTCACTTCTGTTTAGGACCAAACTTATTACTACAGTATTTCAAAGGATTTTAGTTCAAATCAAACAATCTCTAACCGTGTAAAGTTGAACTGTTGATGCAAATGTTTAGGGTTTCACCTTGCTACAATAAATCGAGTGAAATTAATGCTCAAGATGAAACTTAATTGATTAGTTTTGAGAATATTGCTTCAATGTAACTTGAAATATGCTGTTGCAAAATAAGTTAGCTGAAAAATAAATCCAATACAATAGTTCATTGAAACATTCATCATTCGATGTGTATGACGTGTCACCTTTATTACATTTAATGTTTCAGTTTAATGCCAATAATAACTGAATACATCACATTATAGTCAGTATTTTTCATATATTTTTTTTTTCATTAAAACTTGAAGAATTTACTTTATGCTGATATTAGTATGAATCAGCTATATATAAAACTACTGTAAGTTATTATTTGTCCATTACTAACGAAAAGAATGTGATAGTTTCTCTCTTTTTTGGACCCATGAAAATTTGATACAGCCGTTTGTGAAAATAAATGCTTGTCGTTTAGACCATTAATTGTGACACCCCTCAATATACCACAATATAACCTTATTAAAGCTATAACATTTACATTTCAGTAGTTTATAAAATTTTATACACTTGTTTGTTGACAAACTTATTTTCATATTTTTGAATCGCTTCAGTTACAGAGTTGATTTTATTCATTGTTTATATAATTCATATTCTTTTTCGAAATTTTCGGAACGTGTAAAGACGCACAAAGTTTGTTGTGAGTACTTAGTTTTAATATTTTATTCAAAGACTAATATTATTATACTGTTTATGTTTTCGTTTTATTTGTGTACCTATTTTAATTCTTTAACATCTATTTGAATGAGATTTATTTTCAGCAAGATTTTCTCCTTTTCTTATTTTCTTTCTTTTATATTTTTTTTTGAGTATGTTTGTTCATTGATGAATTGAATGATAGATCGATTATTTATTTGATTGATTGATTGATTGATTGATTATTTGATTGTCATACGTATATGTGCTACAAAAATAAACTCCGGCAATTTCGTCTCGGAAGCTCAGTTTATTTTTTTTTTTTGCTATCGTGTAAGTCGTTCGAGATTTTTTTCTAACGCATCATTCTGATACTAGTTTGAAATGTTTTTAAGAATTGATTGATTGATTGATTGATTGATTGATTGATTGATTGATTGATTGATTGATTGATTGATTGATTGATTGATATATTTGTTTGAAGATAATGTAAAAATTTAATTATATTCTTAGTCTTTGTTCATTTAAAGAAAAGCGTGAAATAAGAGGATGAACAAATGATAAGTTATAACACTGGCGTTGCCTTAAATGTGCAAAAGATCTTTTTAAAATATTTTCTACATTGGTCTAGACACATAAGAAAACAACAACAACAAAAATGAGGAAATGCATACATATAATATTATGTAGTAAGAATAGAGGTCGAAGAGGGAAACTATGAGGAATCTAATATACTCACAGTGTGGTATTAGAATAAACATAGTTGTTAATTGATCTATCACACAAATTAAAAATGCATTAATCAGATGAAGTGAGTGTTTCCCCTAACGTAAAAATATCATCAACATATGATGTGTGGCAGTGTCGACTCTAAATTGATATAGGATGTTTTTATGATTTATTAAAATATATGAACTGTCTTACATCAATATGGTAGTACAAAGGTATTAAATTAAATTGCATCTGCATAATTATAATTAATTAATGTGAAACTTAAGTTATTTAAGGACATGTAAGATTACAGGTAAGTAATAGACAGCTGTAGACTTGGTGTAGGAAATTGATTATTGAAAACAAGATCAATATTTTACATGTGTGCGTTTATTTTAGGAAAAGTAATATGGTTAAAATAATAAATGATATCCTTAAACAATATTATGAATGCGGCCACAAACTTGATGAATATTATTATGTTTTAATGGTGTCCATGTTTTAATGGTGTCATTACTATGGTTTATAATAGAAACTGTGTTAGCCCGGATGTACCTTTGGAAGACTTTAAATTGCATTTTGAATCCATATTTTCTGATGTTAATCATATACCACATACTGAAGCGGAAGAATTTAACGCTTCTCATAATTTTGATGATGTAAATTTTAATTTTGATTGTTTAGATAGAAATATTACATTTGAAGAAGTTTGTAAAGCAATTTCGTTACTGAAATGTAGAAAATCTCCCGGCGAAGATAATCTTCTAAACGAATATTTTATCGAAGGTTGTGATATTTTAGCTGGACATATTACTGAATTATTTAATAAAATTTTCAACTCCGGTGTATTTCCGAACGCTTGGACAAAGGGTATAATAATTCCGTTGCATAAAAAGGGAGATAAATGTGATGTTAAAAATTATCGAGGCATTACATTATTAAGTAATTTTGGAAAATTATTCACATGTATTTTAAACCAGCGAATAAATGCCTGGTGCGAGGAAAATAACGTCATATCTGACGCCCAATTTGGTTTTAGAAGGGGTCGTTCTACTACTGATGCTGTTTTTATTTTACACTCTCTGATACAAAAATTTATTAATGACAATAATAGATTATATTGCAGTTTTATTGATTTAAAACGTTGCTTTGATTCGATTTACAGAAATGCTCTTTGGTGGAAGCTTTACAAAAGTGGGTTGAATGGGAAAATGTTACGTATCATACGAAATATGTACCAGTCAGTAAAATCGTGTGTTAAGTCTTGTAATAGTTATTCTGATTATTTTGATATTTCGATAGGTCTAAGACAAGGGGAGATAATTTCGCCAGTTATGTTTTCTTTATTTGTAGAAGACTTGGAACTGTTTTTACAAGATAGAATAGATTGTGGAGTAAATTTTCAAGATATTTGTTTAATATTACTGCTCTTTGCGGATGACATGGTCATCTTAGGTCTTACTCCACAAGACTTACAAAACTCTTTAAACAAACTTTATGAATATTGTAATAAATGGGGCCTTGAGGTTAATGTTCCAA